ATCTCAGGGTCCTATGATCGAGCCCCGCATCGGGCTCCCTGCTCAGCGGGAAGCCTGCCTCTCCCTCTCCCACGCCCCCTGCTTGTGTTCCCTCTCTCCCTGTCTCTCTCTGTTAAATAAATAAATAAAATCTTTAAAAAAGAAAAAAAAAAGAAAGAAAAAAAAGAAAAGAAGATCAAGGTCCCAGGAAAAGAAGAGGAGGTGAGGATTTTAGGAATAAAGCCTTGGAGTGGGGGGAGGGTGGTCTCAGCTGAATTCCTCTCTGGATTTGGGTGTAAAAAGGTTGCCAAGGGTCCTGTTCTCCCACAGAGGGTCAGAATCATCATTATCATTTAAGTTTGGGATCCAAAATGATCAGAGGAAGTTGGACAAAGATTCTTCCACCACCTAGATTTCTCCTCAATTTATTCCTGAACAACTGAACTCAAATGAAAGAAAAATTCTGACCTATGTGTTAAGGGATCAGCACAAGTGTGATAAAAATACCAAGAGAGTTTTAAAAACTAGAAGAGTAGGTTTTTATGCCATTAAATTTAAGCAATTTTTAGTAGAGGATTCCTGCATTTCTCACAGCTTGTACATATCCTCTTAACATTCCCATGAGGTAGGACAAGCAGGTACTACATTTCACTGCAATTTTCAAATGAGGATATGGAATTTCAGAGAGGGTAAGAGTCTTTCTGACTTCTATTTCTTGTGCTTTTTCCTATATAACATGATGAACATTCTAGTTTGGTAGTCCCCTATACTTCTTGTATAATGAATTAGCATTCTAGTTATTATTAAAAATTGTTTGCATCATGATTTTTAACTATATAAAAACACATATGTGTTCACAGAAGGAGTACAAGGAAAGACACAAAAATATTTCACTGTTTTGCAATGGTGGAACTGTGGCTAAATATTTTATCTTGTTAAAACACTGTTTCTGTTAAGAATGATTCAACAGCTTAAATCTCCAGAATGAATCTTGAAATTCACAATGCTGAGGAATGGGCCTTGAACATGGAAATTTCCCCGTTGCTCCTGCTGGATGTGGCCCCTCGGGTGCTCCTGAGGCTCTGGCTGCACATGCACCTAGCTTTACCTGAGGCCCAGCAGGGCCCAGACAGCTACAGGCTGCCTTAGTATTCTTTACTAGGACAAGGCATGGCCTGGTGGCTAACACCTGCCACACAGGTGCTCTCCTTACCTGGTGGGCTTCTGCAAAGTTTCCCCGGAGGATGCAGGATGCCAGCAGTGACTCAGGTGGGGAGAACATCATGGGGATGAGTGAACTTTGAGATTGGGGCTGCAACCGGACATCCAGCTCATTCCTTCCAGATGTAGCATTCAGACTTCCCTCTGTGGGGGCCAAGGAAGCAATAGAAATTGAGGAAAAACTATACTGCTGGCACCTCCCACCAAACTCTTATCTTCAAGGTCCTTCTCTAAAAGTTCTGTAAGTGGGGCTTAATTTTTCCTCAGTTGAAGGGCAAACCTATGCTACTATCTTTGAATACAAGACTTAAGCGACATTTTTGAGTTATTCACCTGTTTCTCTCTGCTGATGGGTAACTCCATGATGGTGAGACAACCCTTCCCCCTTTCCCTGCTGAAATCTGTTTGGCCATCTGCAGAACCAACCTTTTTTTTTTTTTTCCAAATTGAGATATAACTGACATATAACATTTAGTATTAGTTTTAGCTGAACAACATAATGATTTATGTATATATAATGAAATGATCATCCCAATAAGTTTAGTTAACATCCATCATTCATCACACCTAGTTACAATTTTTTTTTCTTATGATAGAATTTTTAAGATATACTCTCTTAGCCACTTTCAAATATACAATATTGTACTGTTAACTATAGTCACCACACTGTGTATTATAGCCCCAGGACTTATTTATAATAACTGGAAGCTTGTATCTCTTAGAACCAAACTTCTTGAACACAGGCATAAACTGTTCAGTCCGGGATTTTATCCTGTGGTGTAGGGCAACTCTATATAAGGGCAAAGCTGCTTGTAGTTGACAACTGGTTGGGACCCCCATACCTGAAGTACTCGTGCTCAGCTCACTACTTGTACTTTCCAGGGATGGATTGGAACTTCTGGCCCGGCCATCTAAAGGAATTAGGAAGAAGAGAGAGAATCAACCCTCAACTCCATATAGGGTGGAAAGTAAGAAGTCAGCTTGAAGCCAAGGGTATTAAGAGCGAAAGGGTAATGGATAACTATTACTGCTGCCGCTCCTTCTACAGCAAACACGTTTCTATAGACCAAAGGTGAAGGGTGGGCTTAAAATGGCCCCCACGCTCATTTGAGTAGTAGCGGTTTCCAACCTGTGGGTCTCAGAGCCCCAGGAGCTTTCAAGTTACTTGTAGGGGTCAGCAACCCCCATCTGCTTACTAAGCACTGTCAATATTCTGAAAAATTAAAAATATGAGCAGAAAGTGGTAGGGTGCAAAGAGGGCCACAAAATTTTCTGACATAGAAAAAGGTGTCCTCATACTTGAAAAGGTAGGGAACGAAGTATAAGACCCAGTCTGGCAAAGACCATGGTATTTAAAGCCCTGGAGGAAAAGCTTTCTGCTTTCTGAAGTGCTAGGGGGGTGGGCGTAGGGGGTATTGGTGGTGCTGGAGGTGTAGCAGTAGGGGCAGGGGAAGAGGGAGAGAGAGAATCTTAAGCAGGCTCCAGAACCAGCACAGAGTATGACTTGGGGCTCGATCTCAGGACCCTGAGATCATGACCTGAGCTGAAATCAAAAGTCAGATGCTTAACTGACTGAGCCACCCAGGCATCCCGGTCCACCTCTTTTTTAAGGCAATTTGGTAATACCCATATATCTTCGACCTTGCTATTCTACTGCTAGGGACTTAGTCTATAGCTATATTCACACAGACATGTATGTATGTACGTATGTATGTATATCCAGACATATGTACAAGGTTGTTTACTATAGCATTGTTTATAATAGCAAAAAACATAAACAATTTAAATGTCCACAAAAGGGTATATATAACAATGGAAATGTTAAGGAGCCTTTAAATTACAAGAGAAAAAAAAGTAAGTTCTCAATATATAGTATGACACATCTGTATATATAAAAGATTATAAGTGAAAAAACAAAATCACAGTTCTCAATATATACAGTTCTAAATATAGCATGACACATCCGGATATATAAAATGCGACATACGCTTATATTGCATGAGAATTTCTGGAAGGAAACTATTAGCAAGGCTATCTTCGGGGAGTGGGATTAGGATAATCTTAGATCCCCTGTGTGTGTTTGTTCGTTTGGACCATGTGTTTTATTTTAAAGAATACCAGACAAGTGGCAGCATACCACCTGCCTGATGCATCGGAATAAGGACTGGGGAGAACTCTTCAGATTACCTGGCCGGCTCCTTCTTGGCCGACGCCCCCGGCGGAGACTTGGATGCCCTGTGGCAATGGGCCGGTATCTTCGGGAAGGCTGCTCCTCTGAAACAGCAAACTATGGGTCATATGGGAGTGTTCAATTTTGATTTGACCCACCTGTTGGGATAATAGGTAGGGGAAGATCTGGACTGGCTCCGAGACAGGTTTCTGACACCGGTTGCTATGGTGATAATGCCGAGTTAAGGTGTGACTCCCACATAACTCCTCGCTCTCTCCCACATTCCTGGGATTTTTTCCCTTCCTCACTTTTGGAACCCACCAGCTCTGTCTCCTCTCACCTGAGCCCTGGTTGCTTGTTACCACCTTGTATCTCCACTGGGCCTCAGAGAGAACCTTGGAAAACCGGTGCAGGCGGCTCTGCGATCCATCTCTGCTTCCCGAGCAGCTCTGGCCTTCTAGCAGCTTTGGCTTCTCAGGGGGATTGTGGCTGCTGAGTTTATCCAGCTGCTCCTGGAGAAGGCTGAGGAAGGCCCCTATTGCAAATTCATCAGCCAGAAACCCACTGATACCACTAGTAAAGTGCTTTAGGTCCAAAAAGCTGTGCCCATGGGGCCCTGGGGAACTGTCTTTTGGCTCTGTCTTCAGACAGCTTGGGATTGTATAAGCAAGGCTCCTGGGGACTCCCTGGCAACCCCGTTCTGACTTCCTCTCAGGTTGTGCTATGTGCTGAGGGCTCTCAGAGGGTGACCTCAAACCCAACAGGCCCTTCCCCTCAATGTCATCATCCTCAGCATAGTCCTCGGGCAGGTGAGGCTCTGGGTGAAGATCGGCAGAGGTGATGAGGAGCAATGAGAAGATGTTTTCTAGGAGTTCCAGGCATAAAGAGTCAGGAATACTGCACAGATACTGTTGACATCTGGCTAGGTATGTTGAGAAGAGATCTGAAGCATCTAAAGAAACACGTATAAGAGAAGAGGCCAGAGAAAGAGAAGAGAGAAAATGTAAACATTAGAAACACTACTTGCCAGACTCAAACATTCTCACAACTTTCACTCATTTATTTTTTAATGACTAAGGGAAGTGGTTATAGGCAGAATAAGAGACTATTTATCCATGTCTTCATGATTTGCAGAAAGATTTTGTTACCTCAATCAAGAGTATAGCTTACTGAACACTCATTATTTTGTTTCTGCTTTTAAGTATTATTCCTCATCATCATAGGGGAAGAGGAAAAAAAATAAAACAAAATGAAATCAGAGAGGGAGACAAACCACGACAGACTCTTAATGATAGGAAACAAACTGAGGGTTGCTGGAGGGGAGGGTGCAGGGGAGAAGGGGTAACTGGGTGATGGACACTAAGGAGGGCACGTGATGTAATGAGCACTGGGTGTTACATAACACTGATGAATCACTCTGAAACCAATACATTATATGTTAATTAAATTTAAAACAAAGGAAAAAATTTTTAGAAAAAGTTTAAAAAACAAAACAAAACAAAACAAATACTATTCCTTATCTCTGACAAGCACTTCATATTTCAGTTCCTGGAATGAAGGCAGCATGGAGACTCCTTATTCCTCAATTCTATTTTCATTCACTGTTACACTAAACGTGATTATGAGCTACCTAGATCTTCCAGAAATACTCACTGGTCAGAAATGACCATGCTCACAGGTGAAGGTCTATTCCAAAGCCACATGGGAGAGATAACTGACCCCTAGTCACAGAAGGCAAGTTAAGGAATTATAAATTATTAAGAAAGAAGAAAGGATAAAACACGAGGTTCTTCCATAATGTAGGCTGTGACCCATGACACTGACTCAGAGAGCTACATTAAAAAAATAAAATAGGGGGCGCCTGGGTGGCTCAGTTGGTTAAGCGACTGCCTTCAGCTCAGGTCATGATCCTGGAGTTCTGGGATCGAGTCCCACATCGGGCTCCCTGCTCGGCGGGGAGCCTGCTTCTCCCTCTGACCCTCCCCCATCTCGTGCTCTCTCTCTCTCTGTCTCATTCTCTCTCAAATAAATAAATAAAATCTTAAGAAAAAAAAAAAAAGAACAGAAAAATAATTGAGAGGGTGCTCTATTTGGAAGCATTAAGTATTGTTTCCTAAAACTTAGTTTATGTATCTCTTATACACACACACACACACACACACACACACACACACACACACATATGTATCACGCAAATTATATACCAAAGTGCAAACAGGAGTATGATGAGAAATGCTATTTTCACTGTGGGTTGTAGTTAAAAAAGAAGCATTTGGAAAACACCGCACTAAGTGATCAAACTCCATTAGAACTTAAGCAATGTCTTCTCCATGTCGTTCTGATTCATGGAGGCTGACAAATGGATGAAATTATTCCTGGGCGTAATAAAACCAAGGCCACCTCCCAATCCCATGAAGAACTCTCTGGGAGAGGCTGTTACCAGCTAATGTCAGGGATGGGGTGGCAGGGAGAAGTCTGTACCTGGGGAGGAGAGAGGATCATTTGCTGGCTCTGCAGCCAAGGCCGCGTCCTCTGAGGGACTGTCTCTGCATTCCTGGCACTGGGAGTGCTGGTGTGAGTTCACACAGAGGGCATAGATGGCATACTTCATGGCACAGAAGCTCTGGTAGAGCGTCAGGTTCTGACACTGGCTCAGGTGCTCAGGGACTGTGGCTTCGGCTGAATCTGAATTGTGGAGAAACGGGCAGAACTTCAGAGTCGGGGCTCTCCAGCAGGGGCTGCAAGTACGGCCGAGGCAAAGACACACTGCTCTTCAGGCTCCGATTTCTGCTTGCTGTCAGTTTGACCTGCGCCCCGGCTGCGCCCCAGCTTCCACTGAGCATCAACGTACAGCCCCTGTTTCCTTTTCCCACCCGCCTCCATTCTACCTGGCTGTTCACTACGGCCCTCATGGCTATTTGTCAAGTCTTTCCCTCATATTTCTTAAAGTACCTGTTTTCCTTTTTTTAAAAAAAATTAGAATGTCAAGTTAATATTTAGTCTACCTAGTGCCACATTATCCAGGAGCTAGGCTTAAAATGCATTTAGACTGAATAATGAGAGCAAAGGCAACAAAAATTACAAACATTTAATATTTTTAAGAAAGCACTGAAGCAGACGTCAAGGGAAAAAACACAAACTCAGTTGAAATTCCTTGTACTTGTTTAATAATTTCTCATTAGAATTTTTTTTTGATTGTCAGTCAGGAGAGAGGAGGGCACCATAATTTTTAAAGGGTCTCTAACATTTTAATCTGATCTTAATTCCTTCCATAGCAAAATACAGCCTGCTTAAGCCATCTATATGCCGCTTACAAGAGACTCATTTCAGACCTAAAGACATCTGCAGATTGAAAATGAAGAGATGGAAAAACATTTACCTTCCAAATAAAAGTGAAAAGAAAGCTGGGGTAGCAATATTTATATCAGACGAAACAGACTTTAAAACAAAGACTGTAACAAAAGACAAAGAAAGGCATTACATAATGATATAGGGAACAATCCAACAAGAGAATAATTGTAAATATTTATGCACCTATCATGGGAGTGCCTAAATATATAAAGCAACTATTAATAGACATAAAGGAAGGAATCGACAATAATACAATAACAATAGGGGATTTAACACCTCACATCAATGTATAGATCACTGGACACAAAATCAACAAGGAAACAGTGGCTCTGAATGACACATTGGAACAGATGGATCTAACAGATATATTCAGAACATTCATCCCAAAGCAGCAGAATACACTCTTTTCAAGTGCACATGGAAAATTCTCCAGAATAAATCACATGTTATGTCACCAAACAATTCTCAATAAATTCAAAAACACTGAAATTGTATCATGCACCTTTTCTGAACACAACTGTATGAAACTAGAAATCAATCACAAGGTAAAATCTGGAAAGAACACAAATACATGGAGGCTAAGTAACATGCTACTAAACAATGAATAGGTCAACCAAGAAATCAAAGAGGAAATAAAACATGGAGACAAATGAAAATGAAAACACAATAGTCCAAAATCTTTGGGATGCAGAAAAACCTGTTTTAAGAGAGATTACAGCAATACAAGCCTACCTCAAGAAACAGGAAAAATCTCAAATAAACAACCTTATACTTATAGGAGTTAGAAAAAAAGAACAAAGCCCAAAGCCAGTAGAAGGAAGAAAATAATAAAGATTAAAGCAGAGATAATTGAAATAGAGACTAAAAAAACAATAGAACAGATCAATGAAACCAGGAGCTGGTGCTTTGAAAAGATCAACAAAATTGATAAAATTTTAGCCAGACTCATTAAAAAAAAAGAGAGAGAGAGAGAGAGAGAACGTATTCAAATAAATAAAACCAGAAATGAAAGAGAAGAAATAACTGACACCACAGAAATACAAAGAATTATGAGAGATTATGAAAAATTATATGCCAACAAATTGGAAAACCTAGAAGAAATGGATAAATTCCTAGAAACATACAATTTTCCAAAACTAAATCAGGAAGAAACAGAAAATTTGAACAGTCTCATTACTAGCAATAGAACTGAATCAATAATCATAAAACAAAAGTCCAGGACCAGAGGGCTTCATAGGTGAATTCCACAAAAATTTAAAGAAGAGTTAATAATACCTATTCTTCTCAAACTATTCCAAAAAATCGAAAATGAAGAAAAGCTTCCAAGTTCATTCTATGAGGCCAGCATTACCCTTATACCAAAACCAGATAAAGATATCACAAAAAAGAAAATTATAGGCCAGTATCTCTGCTGAACATAGATGCAAAAATCCTCAAGAAAATAGCAAACTGAGGGGTGCCTGGGTGGCTCAGTTGGTTAAGTGTCTGCCTTTGGCTCAGGTCATGATCTCAGGGTCCTGGGATCGAGCCCCACATCGGGCTCTCTGCTCAGCAGGGAGTCCTGCTTCTGCCTCTCACTCTTTCTCTGTGCTCTCTCTCTCTCATATAAATAAATAAATAAAATCTCAAAAAAAATAGCAAACCAAAAAAAACAATACATTAAAAAAATGTATTCACCATGATCAAGGGGGATTTATTCCAGGGATGCAACGGTGATTCAATACTCATAAATCAATCAACATGATACATCACATTAACAAGAGAAAGGATAAAAACCATATTATCATCTCAACAGATGTAGAAAAAGCATTTGACAAAGTACAACATCCATTTATGATAAAAACTCAACAAAGTAAGTTTAGAGAGAGCATACCTCAACATAATAAAGTCCATATATGAAAAACCCACAGCTAACATCATACTTAATGGTGAAAAACTGAAAGCTTTTACTCTAAGACCAGGAACAAGACAAGGATGTCCACTCTTATCACTTTTATTCAACATGGTACTGGAAGTCCTAGCCACAGCAATCATACAATAAAAAAAAAATAAAAGGTATCCAAGTTGGTAAAGAAAAAGTAAAACTTCCACTATTTGCAGATGATATGATACTATATATAGAAAACCATAAAGATTCCACCAAAAACCTACTAGAACTGATAAATGAATTCAATAAAGTTGCATGATATAAAATTAATAGACAGAAATCTGTTGCATTAAAAAAAAGGGACAACCTGCTCCAAAAAATAAAAAAAAAAAAAGAAGCACTAAATGTAACAAAGCAAAAAAGAAGTAAAGAAATATTACCCATGATCCTACCAGCTAAATACAATAATTGTTACATTCTGGTTTAATGTCTTTGACAGTCTGGCATATATATATGTGAGTATGTATTTAAGTTGAGTGTAATGACATTTTATATACTATTTAATTTTCCTATTTCTTAAGTATTTTTTACAGTATAAGCATTTGATTATATTTCTTCATGGACTAAATTTCTGATGGCTGCATATAGTTCTACTGAATGAATCCCTTCCCTAGGAATTCCTTTCGGGCAGGACACGCAGTAGTTAGGGCTGCTTTGCTACTATTACGTTGCAATAAACCCGTTTATGTATAGACTTCCCCGTGATTACTTCTTTTAGAAAGTAGCCTCAGCTTTACCAAGGTCAAGGTAATATGAAAAACAAGACCAATATTTTTCTATGCCCCTGGCCTCTGCACGGCATTACTGATCAGGGTCAGGACTTGCAAACACTTGTGTGACCCTGAGAGTGATGACTCCTTAAATTTCATACCCCAGATGCCTCTCTTGTGTCACCTTAATCCCAGCCCTATTATTGCTCTTATTCTGTCTTTTCCAAGTCAAGTTCCACGTGTGTCCTGGTGGGTCACCAGGGATTTGATTTAAAATACTTCTCTGGAAGCCTTTCGTACTTGTATGTAGAAAACAGGGAATTCTAGTTCCTTTAGGAGATCTGGTAAACAAATTCCCTACTTTTCCAGAAAAAAATATAGAATGTAGTAACACTGGTTTTCCAGTTAGTAGTAGGTTCTTTTAATACATAAATCAAAACAGTATCTAGGTTGAGAAACATCTATTGCCATATGAAAACATTTGTTTCTCTCTAAGCTAAGTGTCCCTGGCCTGTGTTCTGACTGTACTATGATGTGATTTTTGAAAGCAAAAAGAGCTTGTTAACAGTGAGCTGAGTTATAAGCACAGATCCAAGGTTAAAACAAGGCTTTGTTATTGTTTTAGGCAAGTCTTTCTTCTAAACTTCTTTATTTAGTAGATTATGAAGGAGAGATGGGAGGGAAAGGAAACACAGAATGTGCTAGGAAGAAGCTTATGTAGCATGGGAAGACTCACCAAAAACGTGCATAAACACTGCCCATGACAATGCTGCAAATTCAGAGGGCAGGTCCTAATTCTGCTTCATTGGGATAAAGGTATATGAGTGGTTCCTGAGAAAGTTCCAGGAGGATGAAAGTTCCTATGGGCCTCTTCTCATAGGATTCCCTATACCTCACCAAGAAAGGAGAGGAGTGTCCCTACAACCCATAATCTGATTGGGGCAAACAGTGATAATCTAGTGGGCACCTGTTGGACCACCCACCTTGACAGATCAAATCTACATAAATCTTGTGCTGAAAGAAACTGGTGCAGGATTGTCCTAAGAGGGAATCTTGCCCAAGTCATTCCTTGCCAACTCACCATGCTCTTGCTGGGGGTCCTTGGCTGGCGCCTTCTGTAAGAGCTTGAGAACATCTTCCTCCCTTAGGGCTGGAAGGTTGGTAAGGTGATGGAGAGAGTAGAGCACGGAGTGGCTGTCTCCACCATGTAAATGACCCAAGAGATCTCTCTTTGGTATGGGGTTGCTGAAAGGCAAAATTGAGAGGTTGGAAGAGAGTCAGTTTATATCTGACTCTGAAAAACCCATCTCGATTCCCTCTTGTTCTTTTCTCTCTGGCCCATGACACTACAGGTTTCACTTCCCTCAACACCAACTTCTAGTTGGTTTGGGATAGAGCAGAGCACTTGTTTACCATTAGGAAAGTACATCCATCAAGTCAGCTCTACTTGTCTAGAAAGGACCTAGGAAGGGCCCAGATTAGGTTTCCCAATTTCCATACTCTTCCTGGCTAAGTTCTCTGATTTGAGTAAACAGCACCCTCCCCACCCCCCGCTTCTGCCTACTCTACTCAGGAAGTGCCAGTGAAGTGGGTGAAGAACAAAACACGAACCCGGATCTGGGGAAGACCTAAGGCTAAGTTATTGGGGAAGCACAGCCTTGTACACGGTGCAAAAGGCAGTTGTCGCATAAATCTGTGATCCAGGATAACACATGACTAAGAATATGGACATTTACTAGCTGTGTCACTTTAGGCATGTGATTTAACTCCTCTGGGCTTAAGCTGTCCCACCTTCACAATGAGGACAATATTGGCACCTATCTCACAGAATTATTTTGAGGCTTAAGTGAAATCATCCACTGAAAGGGCTCACAGCAATGTCTGGCATATAGAAAGTGCTCAGGAAATGCGAGCTTTTGTTCCATTTATCACTGTCATCCTCAAATTATTCTCTAGGTATAACCTTACGGCCATGGCAAAGATGATCATCATTTATGTTCCTTTCCTGGTTTAATAGCTGGAATGATTATTAGTTGCAGGTCAATGCTGTCGACTCAAATATCTATGTGGAAGGTGGCCTGAAATGGTACATGCGTGGAGCATGGGGTCAAGTGTGCCCAGGGGTGGGAAGGGGGCTGGCTACACAGGCCTGTACCTGCTCTGCTGTACACACCACTCCAGGACCTCGAGGTGAGCCCACAGCCCATCACAGGCATCCCTGAGGAGCTTGTCACAGCCTTGGTCCTGTGTTGATATGGGAGAAGAAAGAGATGTGGCTGAGGCACCTGGTGTCAGACTGTGACCGACTTCAGGACCCTGCATTCTGCCTCACCTCGAAGCCCCACAGCAACTTACTTCTGGAGCAGCTCACCCTGCAGAGCGAGAGTTACCTGGACCCCGTGGAGTGCCTGGAGCAGCCTCTTGGCTGATGCTAGGCTCTGGCAGTGCGTCCAGCCCAGGAGCACAAGCAGTCGACTGAGAGGCCTGAATTCTCTGTCTAGTAGGCAGCCAAGACTTGGGAAGTCTTCCTCTTTCAGCAGAGCTAGTGCCGTCACCTGCAAGCCAATGGAGGCTGCTGTAGACAGTTAGGTGGACCTGCGGCTTGTTAGGGTAGGAAGCTTTTTAGTAAAGCAGGGAGATGTCGGATAACGACAGGAGTGGCCAGTTGAGTGCAAAATGTTCACAGAAACACTAGACTGTAAGCTCTCTGAAGGCAGGGACTGACTTCTGTTGTAACCCCAGCTCCTAGCACAGTACACACAGGATTAGGTTAATAAATATCTGTTGACTTAAATTAAAGCTCAGTTGTGGTCGGGACGGAGGTTAGAGTCATTAAAGTCCCCCGTCAGCTACGGAACATATTGCTGCCACTGTCTTTTCTTCCACACACCGTCCAGAAAGCTTATACGTATCTAACATCTTAGTTCCTGCCAAAGGGCATATATAAAATGAGAGCAGTTCTAATTATGAATGATAATGGTTCTCAGGACCTTTTTTCCCCTGGGACTGCGGGATGGACACACCAAATGACTCACCACTAATTAGACTGCTTTGTGTTGGATAAATGAGTCAGAGAGAAATGAGAAATGAAAAAGCCTATAGAAAATCCCTGGGTACTTCTGTGATGGAGAATGAATAAGTTTAATTTACCAGGATCTGCTCGAGGAAATGCTTGCTGTTGCTCAGGCAGTAGAAATAGGCTGATTTCCAAGCCTGGGTTGGGTCAGGATTGGAGAACAGGGCTAGCATTGCCTGCTCAGGATCTAGATGTTCGGGGGAGACTAAAAAAATCAAACCAGACAAGGTTACTGGGGAACAGGGAGATCTTCTTTCCTAAGCTAAGGCCCATTCAAAAAATCAGCAGGTGTGAGAGTTCACTCTTTTAAAAAGTTAAGCCAGGTTTTCTACACTTGATCTTTTTTTTTTTTTAGAAGATTTTATTTATTTAACAGAGAGATACAGGTAGGCAGAATGGCAGGCAGAGGGAGAGGGAGAAACAGACTTCCCGTGGAGCAGGGAGCCTGATGCGGGGCTTGATCCCAGAACCCTGGGATCATGACCTGAGCCGAAGGCAGACACTTAACCGACTGAGCCACCCAGGCGCCCTTCTACACTTGTATCTTAAAGGCACTTGTACTTCTCTTAGTAGCTTCTGAAAAGCTCTTTCCAGGTATTGCTATTACTTTATTATTTTTTCCATCATTCCATCTTGGACTATAAAATTTGTACTTCTATGAAAGAATACCTTACCATTTTTGCTTAGCCTCTCCACTAGATTTCCTGAGCAATTTGGAAGGCACCAGCCTAGAGGAACTTCAGAGTTTGGACACAGTGGAATTACTAACATGCAAGGAGAAGCAGCAAAGGGAACACACCTTTTCCCGAGGGTATGGCCTTCACTGGCTTTTCTGTGGCCTTCTCTGCATAGGTATGGCCGTACAGGGATACCAGGCTCCGTCCAGCCTTGTGTAGCAGGCAGCTGAGCACCTGCTCCTCCCGCAGGGGACTCCCCTCAGCCCTGCAGGCCTCCAGTAGTTCCTCACACAGGAGACGCAGCTCAACCCCGAATGGCTCTGCAGGGCAACGTAGACTCTGCAGGGCTCCATAGATGGCATCAACTATACCAGCGGGCCCAGCGGTGGGGCCCTGCACAGCTCCAAGTGCCCTTCGAATGAGGTCCACCAGTGCCTTCTGCAGAGACCAGCCACAGAGGCCAGTGGCATCGTCCTTGCTAAGCAGGAGTTCCAGCAGGGCCTGTGCTGGCTGGGGAGCCTGCCTCAGAAGATCCCAGAGCACAGAGACAGCTTCTGAGCTGAGCCGAGGGGTCCAGCTCTCCTGCCTCTGATTTCCATCAAGCACAGGGCTTCCTGTATCTTGTGCCAAGGCTTCGTATAACTCCTAAATAGAGGATGAAGCAAGGGATCCACGGTGAGCATGTCTAGGATGTTATCACTTATATGCTTGATGTTTTCCTCTTTTCAGTATGAGTGTGTATATAACAGTAGCAGTAGCAAACACTTCGTAGTAGTTACTTCATGCTAAGTCCTTTACACAGAAAAATTAATTAACCCTTACAACAACCTTAAGAGGAAGACACTACTATTATCCTCATTTTACAAATGAAGAGATGGAGGCAAAGAGAGAACTCAACTGGGCTCCATTCTAAGCTAGGCCCCCCTTATCGCCTCCAAAATGTGCACTGTGGATCTAAATCAGGGGCTGCAACTTCAAAGACCAAGCAGGTAAGAAATGGGCATGAGACATGATGCCTACTCCCATGGCATTTAAATTCAACTTTCAGAGAATATAACACACTATTTTTTAACCTCTGCTCTAAATCCTAGCCATCCTTTGAGGTATAGCCCATTCCTCATCCTTGAAAACCTTCCCCAACACCTCCAACCCACACGACTCTCCCTCTTTATTGGGCTTTGAAAGTACTCAAAATTAGTACCATCTGGTTTAATCCATAACTGTGGCAAGTGTGTATTTGTCTTTTCTCCCTGACTAGATGGTAAGCCTTGGAAGGCAAGAAGCTCTATAGCCTATAATTTGTTTGCAGAGTTGGGGTAGAGGGAGAAAAGAGGATGGGGAAGTAGGTGATTTCCATTGCTTTAGCACCATGCCTATGGACAGTGCTCAGGGATGCTTCTTCATTAACTGCCTCCAAGATGGTCACAGGGTCTTGACCTAATACAAGTGAAAAGTCCCTATCTTAAATCCTATTGTTAATATGTCTTTAATTAGCCGGTGGCCAGGTCATGAAGAAAATCAGTACCAACCCTCATAGCATACTTTAGGGACTTAAGTACAGATGTAGTTAAGACTTCTGCCCCCAGAAGGTTGTTGTGAGGATTATCACATTCAATGCACCTGTTACAGAAGAGGTATTCAACAAATACTATTTCCTTTCTCCCTTTATATTCTGTGATACAGTGGTGAAAAATTCAAATACTAAGCTTAAATCTAAGTTAAGTCTTCCTTTTACGTGGAATGAAAAAGACTTCAATCCCCAGTTATACTTAGAACTTCTAGATAATCCAACTCTAAGAATTCTAAAATCAGGTTAAGTTTATTATAATTCTGAACTCTCCTCAGAGGAAGCTCCACCTAGCCTGGTCTGGTCTGAGAACATAGCCAACCTCATGCGGAGAAGCTGAGCTTGTTGAGTGACTGTAACCCTGGGCAGATGGCTCCCAAGCCCTCTCTCACCTTGAGGATGTCCTCTGGAATATCACGTTGGAGATCTTCTGATAATAACAGAAACTCAAGCTTTCTCCGGAAAACACTTGGGAGTAATTTCTAGAAGAATCGTAAGAAGGATAGAGATTAGGCATATGCTTTAGTTAACAAATAATAAGAAAGTATTTCTCTCCAGTTAGTTTTATTCCTGCTGTTGCTCTAAGATAAAGTACCTTTAACCACTAAATTCCTGGATATGTTTGAGATACTTTTTTTTTTTAAGGATTTATTTATTTGAGAGAGTGCGTGCAAGGAGGAAGAGGGGCAGAGGGAGAGAATCTTGACTCCCCGCTAAGCTCACAACCTAACATGGAGCTCGATCTCACGACCCATGAGATCATGAACTGAGCTGAAACCAAGAGTTGGATGCTGAACTGACTGTGCCACCCTGGCACCCCGAGATACTTTTCTTTATAAACAAAAACAGCTAAACTTGGATGCATACATTCACCACCGTATCACAGAGAATATAAAGGGAGAAAGGAAATAGTATTTGTTGAATACCTCTTCTGTAACAGGTGCATTGAATGTGATAATCCTCACAACCTTCTGGGGGCAGATTAGAACTATGTCTTAACTATATGTGTACTTAAGTGCCTAAGATATGCTCTGAGGGTTGGTACTGATTTTCTTCATGACCTGGCCACCGGCTAATTAAAGACATTCACATGAAGTCTTTTTCCAAGAATCTCCCTTCCAGTGTCCAAACACCCACTTATGAGTAAGCCTGGGAGGGTACGGCCTACTTGATCCTCTTTTGGTCCAAACCCTGGTTTTTGGTATTCATTATAAGTTGGAAAACAAAAGAGGAAGGGATCTAATGGTTATTATGTGCCAGATACTGTGTGTCATATTCTCACACATTTAAAAAAAATTTCATTTAATCTCTAAATCAAACAAACCTGTGACTTGAGCATATATTTTACTAACGATGAAATGGTTAGGAAGTATTTTTTAATTATTTCAAGCATGAAAAAGAAAAAGTGATCTACCAAATATTTGTTAATGAGACATGCTATCAGAGAAGACTGATGGAAGGAAAGAGAGAGCCCCTGGCTCTTCCTGGACCTGCTTGTTTCACAATAACTTCCCTTCACCTGGTTCTTAAAACTAAAATTATAGTTTCCCCTTCTCCAGACACAAATACAAATAAGAGTAAAATCTAGGACTAATCCTAACAAACACTACTTTATTTTTTATTTATTTTATTTTTTATTAATTTTTTAAAATTTTATTTATTTTCAATGCGGGGCTTGAACTCACGACCCTGAGATCAAGACCTGAGCTGAGATCAAGAGTCCAATGCTTACCTGATTGAGGTACCCAGGCACCCTACCACTGCTTTAAATTAAAGACACCTGTAAATCACATGGCTGATTAAAGGTTCCAGGGATCATATTTTATTGAAAGGTCTCCTATCTCAAGCAAGAAGCACCTGCAAGACTGTGTGTGTGTGTGGGGGGGGAGTTAGAACACAAGAGCCCACTTTCTCTATTCATGTGCCATTCACTATATCAGAGGCTAACACAATCTAGTATGTTCTCGGTACAAAATCCTATTTCTTCTTACCACATCCTTGCCTAATGCACCTATGCCAACTGAGTGCTTATACAATGCTAGTGATTAGAAGTCAGTGGAGAAAATTCATGCTGGAAAGCTAAAAGTTAAATGCTTCAACTAAGGACTAAGAGGAAGGAATAGATAAGATGTCCAGACAGCAGGCCCCTGATAAAGAACAAAGTCTGGTTAAGATATTAGGACTTTAATCTAGAATCCTAAAGACTCCTTAGTTTGTAATTATGTTACTGGTGAAGCTGCTTTATGCATGTGCAGGGTCATAAATGACTAACATTTCTAAAACAGGGAAGAATTTGTTCCATGTTTCTAAGCACAGATCTTACTATCAAAGCAAAGCACGTTCAATGTAAAAAAATTAGAACACAGAAATAGGCAAGTGAAAACACACACCTACAACCCCCAAATCTTCCCACTAAAAGACAGCTTCTATTAATACTGTGGTCCAAGGGCATCCAGATCATTTCTATTCATGCATCCCAAATCCATAGTTCTCTAAAGTGTTTTTTCACGCAGCAGAGTATGAACATCCCTCCATGTCACCAAAAGTTCATTTACTACATAATTTTAATAGTGGCATAGTGTTTTACAAATAGATTAGCCAGTCCTGTACTGTGGACATGGGAGTTGTTTCCAGTTTTCCTTTATTAGAAGCAGCATGGCAGTGAACATCTCTGCAGTTAAATCTTTGCACACATGCTTCCACATGTAGAGATAAATCACTGCAAGATAAAAAGGCAGAAGGCAGAAGAGGATGAAGAAAAGGGAAAATGGAATCACTGTTTCAACTTATAATTAAAAAGGAAGCTTTTGGGGATGCCTGGGTGGCTCAGTCAGTTAGGCGGCTGCCTTCGGCCCAGGTCATGATCCCACGGTCCTGGGATTGAGTCCCCCATGCTGAGCGGGGAGCCTGCTTCTCCCTCTCTCTCCCTCTGCTTGTGCTCTGTCAAATAAAATCTTAAAAAAAATAAAAACGAAGCTTTTGGCAGAAGTTGGGAGATTGGAAAAAGAGGCAGCTAGCAGGTCCCCTAAAAGATGAAGGTCACTCTGGATTAGCGACTGGCCTTGTGGAACTACTCTAAGTGCTTGTAAGAGTTGCAATCTTAGTCCTTTTAAGAGTTAAGTCTCTGGGGTCCTTGCTTAAAGTTTGAAACATTCCCACAACTGTTTAAATAACTGAGGCATGGAAGCCTGAAGACTAAATGGTCTTTGATATTGGGAAAAACAAGAACAATTCTTAGTTTGTGCTAAGGAGCCATGGAAGTGAAATCAACCACCTGGTCTGGTTGAGCAACTGTACAGAAAATAAGCAACAAAGCAGCCATGAATGGGGCACCTGGGTGGCTCACTTGATTAAGCATTCAACTCTTGATTTTGGCTCAGGTCATGATCTCAGGGCCTCCATGTGGAGCCTGTTTAGGATTCTCTTTCTCCCTCTCTCTGCCCACCCCCACTGCTGTCTCTAAAATAAAGAAATCAATCTCAAAAAAAAAAAAAAAAAAGGCAGCCACGAAGTAGGCAAATACCTTTCAGTGAGGGGAAAGTTCCTCTGGTTTGACAAATTCCATGTTTGGACTAGAAAAACTTTTAGTCAGTAACAACAGACAGTTTTTCTTTTTCTCTTTGAAGATTTTAATTCAAGTTTTCCCTTTTAGATCTGAAACTACAGCTAACTCAATCATCCTGGGGTTATCTAAAAATTTTGCTTCTCTTTCTTCCCTCTCCTACTAGCCTTTTTGTCATTTTTTTGGTCTTTTTTTTTTTTTTAGACACTGCCAAAAACCTGGATATGAGGTACATTTAGATTAGGAATTTCTGTCATTTTTTAACAGCTATGTGAAGTATCAAGCAAAACTGGAACTGGAGGCAAAATTAATTCTGATGACAGAGGGGAGTAAAGAAGAAAATTAGGCTGAATTATAGACATTTACAGAACAGAATTTATGGTTTCTTTAAGTTCTACCTCAAATAATGTTGAGGTGGAAAAACTAGCAGACTAGGGACTCAAAGTGAGAAGATCTTGGTTCTAGCCTTAGTTCTTCCAACTAACTTTATTGTGTGTCCCTGGGCTAGTCACTTCTCTTCTGGGTCAGAGGTTCCTCACTTAAATCTTGAAGTCTGAGGCTTAATACAAAATTGTCTCAGAGAAATTCCTCTAATGGATATCAACTTCTGATAATTATCACATACTTCTAAAAAGGCTTTTAATGGCAACCTTTTTTTTAAAAAGCACTTTGTTATAAGTTTTCTTCCACTATTAATTTGCTCACTGTTTTTATATTTGGTAACTTTTAGTTTAATTCATGTGGATTATTAAACTCTTAATCAATGAGGTTTAAATCTATAAGTATTCACTGTACTGGACTAATTAAAATGAGATTTTTGGAAGAACAACCAGGTTTCAGCTCAGCCCATTCTCCATTACTTGAGTATTATGAGATTCATACTTTTATTTGCTATTTTGCCATTTTCACTTGGTTTTGCAAAGTTCTGTTCAGGCACAAGACTCACAATGGTATTTAACAAAATGATATCACCTTAAATGGTATTACATGCCAATGTACGTTAGTAAATGAATGAATAAATTTAGGTAAGGAGACAGCAATAAAAATTTATGCCATTCTTACTGTCGATACTGAGAAGGGAATATGACAAACCTCATAATAAAGGAAGTAACAGATGAAAAGGAAATCTTTAGCTACTTCCAAGTTCTCAGTCCTGGCCTCAGGAAAAAATCTGAAATATAAATCTGCTTACCTTTTCCTGGGAGAACCATTTTTCCAGTACAAGAAACCAGACCCAGGCTAATCTTTGAGGGTTGATGTCCTGTCCACATCTGAAAAATGTGAAAAGAAAGAATTTCTAAACGAAGAGTTTCTACTGACCTTTACTCTTTTGTGACCCAAGATTGAGATTTCACTGTTCAGTCTGTTTTAAACCTAAACAGGCAAGAAGACATTGTCCTAATGAGAAATTTTCAATTTTATGATAAATCAATAAAACTAGAACCAGAACAGGGTCAGCAGCTTTCATTTAAAAAAAAAAGGAAAAAATATCGCACCCCTACCTCCAACTCCCTATCTAGTCTTTATTATTTTTAAATGAAATAACATTCATAGAAAACCATAAAAGCAAGGCTCCCTAAAGTATATTCTTGAAAATAGAAACTGAATCAAGTAGTCTTAAAGAAAAAAAAGGAACTTCATGAAAATTTAACTCTATGCTGAAAACAGGGGTATAGGAATTCATAAGGCTTTCTTTGAAGTTAGTAATTTAGACAGAAACTGGCTAGAACCCAAATGAAAAAAAATAAAGGGAAAAAAGAATCACCTAAGTCTCTATATGTGTGTTCATACAATACAACGTAGCTGTCAAAGTAAAAAAAAAAAGTGAAGGGGAGACTAGACAGCACATTTAATTGTTATACCACTGGTTGTTAATAGCACTGCCAGGAAGAGCTTCATTAGAAATTCAGATAGAGAACAGTGCTTGCTAGGGTACAAAGAGGGGTCAAAATACAAAGAGGTATTCCCAGGGAGTGAGGGAATTCTTTTGTGGTGATGGAAGAGTTCTGTATCTTGATTTTAGTAGTACATGAATCTGTACCTGGATAAAACTGCATAGAACTACATACATAAAAACAAATACACATTAAAAAAATGGTGACAACTTAATAAGGTCTGTAGTCTAGTTAACAGAAATGTACCAATGTCAAATCTCCTGATTTTGATATTGTACAATATGTATATGAGATATCACAATTGGGAGAAGCTGTGGAAAAGGTACTCTGTATTTTTTTTTGCATTTTGTGAATGTAAAACTTATTTATATAACTTTCAATACAATATTTATATAATTATTTCAAAATAAAAACTTTAAGTGAATTGACTTCCAGTCCTTTGTTAAAGCTGTAATACCTTCAATTACATAAGCAAGAAGAGAGCAGGGTTTGCTTTTCTGGAGGCAAAGGAAATGCTTTTCAATGCAGTTCCACCATCTACTTTAATGATAATAGTCAAGAAACGGTGGTTTTAGGCACACTTTGCTGGCCAGGCTTAAATGTAGTTTCAGATGATAACTGAAGGCCAAACCGATTAAGTACTAAACATGTATTAGAGAGGTAAATTTTCAGAGCATGAGAAATACACTCTGCCTCTGAGAATTCTTCAGAGGGTAGGTGAGAGAGGCACGTTGACCAGAGCCCAAATACTGACCTTGTGTCTCCTGCCCTGTGACTGCCTAGAATAAAGCGAGATCCCTTACCTCAGCTGATCTGGACACACCACCAGCGCCTGAAGAATATCTTCCACCTTTTTTGGGATATCCCCTTGTGCCTGGTGTAGCTGAGGTACACATGCCTGAGCCAGCTCCCATTCTCCTCTGCGAAGGCACTCACAGAAAAACCCAAAAAGTTGCTTCTGAGAAGCAGTTTCCTCTTGTCCAAATGGATGATGCATTTTCCCAGCACAGAGTGCAGGGAGATAGAAAGAGATGAATTACGCAGAACACATTGTCAATTTTCTCAGTCGTGGAGCACCTCCTAGAAACAATACACACCACAATGAGGAGAAACGGAAGGAACTATAATTAGACAAACTAGTAACTACTAGCCCGGCTGGGAAAAGCGGGACTTACTTCCCTAATTATTGTTTTAAGTTTGATTTGAGGTGTTACTCTTTTTGAGAAGTTCCACCTTTCCCCGAGGGGTGGATCCCATCTCTCTACAGGCATCCAATATTTAATTAATCTTAATGGTCTATTAGTTCGGAGTGCAGACCCATAACTGTACTTTCGTATTCCCCACTTAACTTTACGCCCATTCGGACTCCAAATCCCCAGGTGGTCGCCTCCTTAAGGATGAGAAATTCAGCAAGAATCTCCCTAGTTTGAGCCCTCTCTTAAGGCAGAGGAGTGAGGTCTGGAGAAGAGTCTGTGTTAGGGCTGAAGGACCGTGGGGATTGGGGCTGAGGGACGCTCCATACAGGGGTTGTGGAGAGCGCCCCCGCCTTCTTTGGGGCGCCTTACACTCACCCTCTCCCGGTGCCCAAAGCAATAGAGCTTCCAGCGCAGCCATGTTTGAACCGAGTCAGGTGATAAGCCCCATTCGGGAGGTTGCCCGATGGCGGGATGGGGTGGGACGACCGACAGCGGCTACTCCTATTGGTCAGTGGAGGGACGATGCAAATAAGGCGCCATATTTGTTTGGGTCACGTGACGCCACCTCTTCGGACTAGAGAAAGCTAGGACACCGAAAGAGTAAATCAGCTACCTGGCTAATAAGGACAGTTCTTCCCAGTTTTGACCACTCCTCCGCTCAGCACCTTCTGTTTTGCGTTCGGCGGAGCTGGTGGCAGGAATATCAGTGTCCCTTGATTTTTTCTTCTCTCTTTTACTCCCTAGCATTTGAAGTCAGCTTTTAATAAGTGCTAGCCAGTGGCAGTGTTTTGCCAGGCCTTGGGAATACCGAGATCAAGGAAACCTGGATCCTCCTCCATTGTTATTCTATCCACTTGGGCTCTCTTATAATCCCAGAATCCTACTTCCTGAATTCCCATTTTCTGCCTAATCCATTGATTTATTTGCTCATTTACCGGATAACCTTTAATTGAACGGGGTGCTAGGCCCTACTCTACCGGCTGATTAAGTTACGAACCCTGTCCTCGAGCTCACAGTCCAGTGAGGAGTGCAGGCCAGTAATTAGGATACAGTAGGCTAAATTATAGGATAGAAAGTGCACAGAGAGATGAGAGCAAAGAACGAGCAAAAGCTTTTTTGCAAATACTGTAATCTGAAACTGAGTCTTAAAGCAATAGTTTACTAAGCTTCCTTATCACAGCTGCTTTTACACATAAACTTCTGTTTGGTTTCCTTCATGGTCTCCTTAAACTACAGACTCTTATGTTTCCCCATTAAGTGTTTTCAGTTGAGCAATTTCACTCAGTAGTTCCCAAACTATTTCATCACCAAAGTGTGGTGAATAAAGCAAACCCGGGAGTTAAGCATCTGCCTTTGGCTTAGGTCATGACCCCAGGGTCCTGGGATGAAGCCCCATTAGGGCTCAGCGGGGAGTTGGCTTCTCCCTTTCCCTCTGCCCATCCTCCGGCTCATGTGCGCGCGAGCGCGCTCTCAAATAAATACAATCTTAAAAAAAGGAAAAATTAAAAGAAAAAAGCAAACCAAAATAAACCCAAGCTCTCTTTCAAAACCTCTTCTAGGATAGGTGGATTCTTATTTATTCCTTGAAAACTAACATGTCTCTCTGGTCCATTACACATTTTTTAAAGGTAGTTCCAAAAAAAAGAAAAGACACAATTCCAAGCAAGGTTTTTCCTGGCTTCATTTTCTCCTTGCTGCTGTTTCTCCACAAGATTTTGATAATCACTGTATTGAGAAACTGACTGGAACGTCTCAACTGATTATAGTGTGAACTACAATTCCCTGCAAGCCGGGGAGCCAACCTGGGACTCTTCCTACCTCTGATTGGATATTTCGCCAGAGTGACGACCCAGTCAGCATTTGGGTTGTTGCCTTGCGGCGCTTTCCGCGGGGAACTGTGAGGGGTGGGGGAAACTTTGAAAGTTGGATGCTACAGACCCGGTACTGGAAAGTTTCGTGTGGGGGGCGTTTGTGGGGAAACGGGATGCGCTCATTATTTTCTGCTCCTTCTCTGGGCCCCTGTCTGTGTTATTGATTTCGGGGTAGCGGAGAATCTCTCTTTGGTCCAGTACACGCCCCCTTAGGCCTGTAGGCATCTGAACAGGAACCTCGCCGCGGGATCTGGGGGCTTCTGGCCTTCTTTTGTGGGGGATGCTGGGAAGCTGCTCCTTGTTGGAAAAATTATTTTTAGGGGATTCTAGGGTGACATTTTCGTCTCTTGATGCCCACCTCCCCTCTCCCATTTGCTGGCTGTTCGGAGTCTCGGCAGGGGAGCCCGTCATTAAGGGAAGTTTATGGTCTGCTCGCCTTCTGGTGGTGTTGAAGAAGACGTAGTTAAAGCGAGGAATCTGGAGCTCGATCTCTGGATTTGAATGCGGACTCAACCATTTGCTAGCTGGTAGACTTTGCACAAGTTTTTCAACTCAATGCCTCAGTATCCTTAGTCTGAAAAGTGAGGTAAAACATCGGACGGAAGCTCTTGGAACAGTACTTGGCATGTAATAAGGGCTCAATAAATATTAGCTATTATCGTTAATAGTTTTCATTGAACATCTTACATAAGGGTTTTTATTTTGTTGAGGAGGGAAGGTTTCAGTCTTCAGGATGGACTAGCTTCCCTCACCCCTGTTTACATGTGCGGGCATGCTGTGCACACATACAGAGCAGGAATTTAAGTCTGGTGGAAGAAACGAACACGCAAGCTGTAATAATACGTTAATAAGATTATCCAACAAATATGTACAAAGTATGATGAGAACACTGGAGAGGAAGAGAGTGAGTTGGGGGCAGGCTTTGTGGAGAAAAATCAAGGAGTCAGGACGGACTGACCATTGGTGTAACCTACCAGTATATTGTGGCTGGATAGCTGATAAGTGAGGCGGCAAATGATATTTTGCTGTCTGAATTGATAATGGTAATGATTGTTAACCTTGAGCTCTGTGTGTCAGACAGCATCCAAATCCTTTAATCTTTCACTACATTCTTATGAGGTAAATATTTGAATTACCCTTGTTTTACAGATGAGGAAACACTCACACCAGGAGATGAAGTAGCTGCCAGGAAGGCCAGGATCTGGGCCTTGCAATCAGATGTATGAATGAGAGGGAAGTGAGAGACCAGTTGATGAAGGGTCTTTATGCGATCTTAAGAAGTGTGGAATTTATCCCATGGGTAAATTACAATGGTCCCATGGGTAGTTTTAAAGGATGACAGGATTGGAGCAAATTTTTAGGTAGCTGCCTCTGGCAGGATTGTGGCACTGACCAGACTTTTGCAGACCAGTTTGGTGCTTCTTCCTGTCTGCTTCCATAGCACATTTAAATGCCAATGACAGTACTTATTGCATGACTGTAATTATTTGTGTATACATCTCTTTTCATCTTTTACTGTGAGTTCGCAAAGGGTAGGGAATATGCTTAAATGATTCTTGTACCCAAGGGCTCAGGAGAGCGTGTGATTAAGAAGTGTCTGTGGAAGGAGCCAAATGAATGGATTTTTTTTTTTTTTTTTGATAGTGTAGGGAATACCCCCTGCCCCGGGGCAGTATGCATAGTGCAGGCAGATAATGGGAGTGGCCCTAATAAGGCTGAGATAGCAGAGTTGGTTATTGTTAAAGTCCAGGTAGTTTGGGTTCCCCTTTTTGATTGAATTTATCAGTCTAAATGGTGTTATTGCCCAGAACTACCTGATCTGTAAAGACACTACTTGGGAAACAAATCAATACTGACAAATTCCTGCTGAGAGAAATGAGAGGGATGTATTTTGTGTTTGGGAGGTGTGTGTGTATGTGTGCATGCACACGTGAATGTGTGAGAGAGAGAGGGAGAGAGAAAGGGAGAAGAGGGAGAGGGAGGGAGAGAGTTCATTTAATTCAGAGAATTTATATGTTATATAGAAATTTGGGCCGTGGTATTGGAAATAAACTGGTATCTATATTCTCAGTACTATGTATTTTTTTCCAAAATGTCACTCCTTTTCTGATAACTATATTGCTATATCTCCTGGAACCATGAAGAGTTCCTGTTTCTACTCTATCCAAAGGATATCTTTCCATCTCAGTGAGAAACACAGCTTCTCCTTTGCATGCATAATGAAAGGAATCACAGTGACTTGTGTTCTAGTTCTCTGAAGGCAAATATTTCATGAGCCTCGTTTAACCCTAGTGAAGTTCAACAAGAGTGAAATTTAATTGCATGTGAGAATGTGAGAAGCTAATACAATAAAAACAATTTCAGTTTGTAAATAAGACCTGAAATAATAAAATCTCATTTGATTCAGAAGTTTGCTCTGCCTCATAGAAAAAGGAGAGGTTAAATATGATTATGGACTTGTAGTAGGGTGTAACGGTTAAGAGGTTGAGTCTTAGAGTCAGACTTCCTGAGTTGAAATTCTGGGTCCACCATTAACTTTTTCTGGTGACTATGGAGTAGCTAACATTTCAAGGCTTTAGTATTCTCATATGTAAAAATTGGATCAATAATCAAACTTGGAGGCTTAAATGTGATAATTTATGTAAAGCTTTGAACAGTGTCTGGTACATAGGAGGTGCACAGTAAATTATTACAGTGCAATGAAAGTAAAGCCTTTCTAAGGAGTGCTGCTTGGAAATATTCCTTGAGGGTTAATTACGTATCCAAATAAAATTTATAAATGCATTGAAAACCTTAAGATGCTATACAAATGTGAAGTAGTGTTTTTATATTCATGTAAGAAATACCAAAGAATTGTGTGAAATGCACATTCTTACATTGTATTGTTTCTCTCTGTGGATGTTTGGCAGACATTTAGAAGGATCCTGTAGCTATCCTTTATTTTATCAGTAATATTTTAAATACTGTACATTTTATTTTGTATCTGGAGAAGCTTGAAGAGTTTTTCATTTTGTAGCCTGTTTTGGATACTGTCTACTATTCCTTATGCCCTTTTCCAATTCTTTTCAGGGTCCTTTTTCTGCTGTATCTGAAGGCATGGGTAGCAAGAAACTCAGACGAGTGGGTTTATCACAAGAGCTGTGTGACCGTCTGAACAGACATCAGATTGTTACCTGTCAGGTAAAATTTATGTACTTTTTCTCATGGAGAAACTTTAAATACAAATTAATTTTAAATATACCTTTTTTTTTTTTTAAAGATTTTATTTATTTATTTGACAGAGAGAGACAGCGAGAGAGGGAATACAAGCAGGGGGAATGGGAGAGGGAGAAGCAGGCTTCCCGCGGAGCAGGGAGCCCGATGCGGGGCTCGATCCCAGGACCCCGGGACCATGACCTGAGCCGAAGGCAGACGCTTAACGACTGAGCCACCCAAGCGCCCCTAAATATACCTTAATAACTCAAAAATAAGCCTGAAATATGAAAATCTAACTTTCTAAAAAAAAAAAGAAAAAGATAAATTATAGTGCTTCTCCAGAGGCTAATTTAAAATAACAGGCCACTTAGGTTGTATTTCTAAATGCGATTTCATTTATCCAGATTCCAATATGTTTGCATTTTGGGTCAGGGGAGAATGCTTATAGCATAATGTAAAGTATACTCATGCCATTTATTTGGGATTCTAGAGAAGTTTCGTCCACTTGAAAGAAATTTTTCAGTTACATGAGAAATAGGACTTAAATGAGGAGATGGTATTCAAAATGGATTATGTCTCTTGCAAGCAAGAGAAATTAATAGAATAATTTTCCTATCAATGAATGAGAGAAATGGAGCAGATGTTGCATTTTTAAGCACAATAGTGAAGCAGATCCCTCTTAGGTTAAATAAAGTTTTATGTTAGGATTTAATCCTTAATAAGACAGATTTTCAGCATATGCTGCAATTTTAAAAAATTGCTTTGTGTGTTAATGGTATTTTGATTTCTCTTACACATCTAATAACCCTCATGTTCATACTTGAAAACACTCTTAGAAGTATGAGACTTAACATTTCATTCCATAGTCAGTTTTATTGTCTCAGTTATTAAATACTTCCTCTGAATGATCTCATAGCTTAGTAAGAAACCCATTTCAACCTGACACATTCTGGTGTCAGTGCCCAAATTCTGGCCCAGGGCGGTGCTCATATACACCTGGGTTAGAGGCTGCTGCTATGTGATGTTACTTGATATGTCCTCTGATATATGCTAACTAAATTGGAGAATTAGAAGATACGTTTATGGCATCGTATCTTTCAGTTAAGGCATATGTAGGGGGAAATACTATAAGAAACATATAAACCTTTGATCTACAACAAATTACGCTTTATCTATACATGGATACTGTCCATTAAAAGTTTCTTTTTAATTCCAATATCTTTGTTGCACATATATGTTTAAAATAGTCTTTTTATTGTCTCTTTAGGACTTTTTATGTCTTTCCCCACTGGAGCTTATGAAGATGACTGGCCTTAGTTATGGAGGTGTCCATGAACTTCTATATATGGTCAGCAGGGCCTGTGCCCCGCAGATGCAAACGGTATATATATGTATTTTATTATGATTTGGTTATGATTTTTGCGATCATTCTTTATCTCATTTAAGATCTTTTTTGGGGGGCGCTTGGGTGGCACAGTTGGTTAAGCAACCAACTCTTGGTTTCGGCTTAGGTCATGATCTCAGGGTCATGAGATTGAGACCTGTGTTGGGCTCCACTTTTAGTGGGGAGTCTGCTTGAGACTCTCTCTCCCTCTGCCTTTCCCCTCTGCATGCATGCATGCATGCACGTTCTCTCTCAAATAAATAAATCTTTAAAAAAAATAAAATCTTTTTGGAGATGAGGCAAAAGCAAAAATAGAGATGAACACCTCAAAAATATTGATTCGCACCACCGAGTTAGTCCTTTAATGAGAATATATGTGAAAAATTTATGTAGTTTATAAGCTCATGGGAGAGAGTTCCTAATTATGGGAATGAGGAAGCAACAGGAAGTTTTTTTCTCTGTAGCTAATAGTGATATTTCAAAAGGTCATCTTTGTCTTTTGTTTGTTTGGGTGGAATTTGTGGGTCTCACGGTTAAGTTATAATATACTCCTAATTAGAACCCCTGTCTCTGTAATACTAACTTTTATCATCATCAGTCTACATCATAAAGTACATATATTGGATTTATACTTGCTTATTGATTGAATATATATTACTTAAGAACTTTGCTCACTTTTTTTTTTTTAAAGATGTTATTTATTTATTTGAGAGAGTGTGAGCGAGCCTGAGCTGGGGGGAAGGGCAGAGGGAGAGGGAGCAGCAGACTCATTGTTGAATGCAGAGCCTGAGCAGGGCTCGATCCTCGATCTGAGATCATGACCTGCGCTGTAGGCAGCTGCTTAACCGACTGAGCCACCTAGGCACCCAAAAACTTTGCTCACCCTTGAGAAGAGTTAAAGTCTTTTATAACAAATCCTCATCAAGTTGTAGTATTATTTTATACTCTGTTTCATAACTTTAGCTTTTCAACATGTAGGTTTAGTGCATGGTTTGAAAAGATCTTGTTTTCCCAGAATAAGAGTGCCTAAAAGTCTGTTCAGTGCTTTACAAATGTATTTATTTAGGTGGATTATAGATTACTTACCTTACATCTTATACTGAAATTTGGTAACCACTGAGCAATAAAGTGGAGTTCAGTTCTATGAAGTGGGAAGGAAGGAATGTTAGTGTCATTTAAAAATTCTGAAATCAATGAATAGATAAAGTATTTTCTTTTCTTTTTTTTTTTTTTAAAGATTTTATTCATTTATTTGAGAGAGAGAACGAGATAGAGAGAACATGAGAGGGGGGAGGGTCAGAGGCAGAAGCAGGCTCCCTGCCGAGCAGGGAGCCCGATGCGGGACTCGATCCCGGGACTCCGGGATCATGACCTGAGCCGAAGGCAGTCGCTTAACCAACTGATCCACCCAGGCGCCCGATAAAGTATTTTCTTTTGTTCAGATTTAGCTTGTGATCTAAGAAAATACCTCATAGGCAAAGTAGTCAGAAGAATTAGAATTGGAGCTAGGGATTGGCACTGTCTTAGCTTTGTCATTGACCTTGATACTTTGAACAGTTCGCTTTGTTTTATGGGAGAAGGAAGAGAGCTAAAATAGTAAGTGATGATTCTGTGACCATATTCAAATTAACTTGTTACTATTTCGAAGCTTGCAAAGCACCAAGAAAGTGTTTTAGTTTGACATGTGTCATTCTGTTTGGTCAATATCTATGGCATAGTTCTAGTTGGAGGATAAAGAAGAGAGCATGGGCAGGAAATTCACCTTTAGACTCCACTTCTGCTACCACTTCAGCCGTGGTTTCAATACCATTCCAAATGCTGCCTCACGAAGCCATCTTTCTCCTTTGTTGTACGTTCACTTCCGTAGCATTCTGTAGATTTGGGTCTTGCTTTAAACATTGGCTTAGCATCAGTTTATTTTTCCAGGGAAGTTTTTTTGTTCATTTATATATTCCTTTAACTAGTATTTCTTGTGTGCCAACCATGTAGCAGGTACTCTGTCAGGTCCTGGGGATCTTGTAGTGAACATGGTAACATCCTGCCCTCATGCAGCTTACAGTCTAGTGGGAGAAGTCAGACATTACACATATAATTACATAAACAATTAGTTATTTGTAGTAATGATAAGTCCTATCAAGGAAAAGTACAAAAAGCTCTGAAACTTAATAACAGGGTACATTACTTAGTTCCGGGGTTGCGAAGGGCTCCTCTTAGGAAGTGACACTTTAGCTAAAACTTGAAGGGTGAATAGGGGAGAGATAGGCAAAGTCAGGAAGGAGGTGAGCATGGAGGAGTCTGCAGGCAGTGGAACTAGGATGTGCAAAGGCCCTGTGAAGAGAAGGAGAATGGTGTTTCCTGGCAGTAAAATAAGGCTGGTGTGAATGGAACTTAGTGGTGAGGAGCAGATTGACCTCAGAGATGAAGTCAGAGAAGCAAGCAGGAGTCAGATCATGGGGCTTACAGACCATGTAGAGGATTTTGAACTTTATTCTGAGAGCAATAAAAAGTCATAAAGGGTATAATCTGTGTTTTTAAAAACTCAGTCTTGCACAGAGACTTTATCAAAAACATGATTGCAGGCACATCTCAGGCGGACTGTGCTGTCCTGATTGTTGCTGCTGCTGTTGGTGAATTTGAAGCAGGTGTCTCCAAGAATGGGCAGGCCCGTGAGCACGGGCTTACGCACTGGGTGTAAAACAACGAATTGTTGGTGTTAACAAAATGGATTCCACTGAGCCACCCTACAGCCAGAAGAGATAGGAGGAAATCGTTAAGGAAGTCAGCACCTACATTAAGAAAATTGGCTACAACCCTGACACAGTATCATTTGTGCCAATTTCTGGCTGGAATGGTGACAACATGCTGGAGCCAAGTGCTAACATGCCTCTGTTCAAGGGATGGAAAGTCATCTGTAAGGGTGGGAATGCTGGTGGAACCACACTGCCTGAAGCTCTGGATGGCATTTCTGCCACCAGCTTATCCAACTGACAGGCCCTTGTGTTTGCCTCTCCAGGACATCTACAAAATTGGTGGTATTGGTACTGTCCCTGTGGGCCGAGTGGAGACTGGTGTTCTTAAACCTGGCATGGTGGTCACCTTTGCTCTAGTCAATGTTTCAACTGAAGTAAAGTCTGTTGAAATGCACCATGAAACTTTGAGTGAGGCTCTTCTTGGGGACAATGTGGGCTTCAATGTCAAGAATGATGTATCTGGGGGCACCTGGGTGGCCCAGTCGGTTGAGCATCTGCCTTCAGCTTAGGTCGTGATCCCAGGGTTCTGGGATCGAGCCCCATGGCAGGTTCCCTGCTCAGAGGGGAGCCTGTTTCTCTCTCTCCCCCCTGCTAGTGTTCTCTCTCCCTATGTCTGTCTCTCTCAAATAAATAAAAATAATACAAAAAAAAAAAAGAACGATGTATCTGTCAAAGATGTTCGTGGCAATGTGCCTGGTGACAGCAAAAATGACCCACCCATGGAAGCAGCTGGCTTACAGCTCAGGTTCAGGATAATCCTGAACCATCCAGGCCAGATCAGTGCTGGATATGCACCTGTGCTGGATTGTGACCCAGCTCACATTGCTTGCAAGTTTGCTGAGCTGCAGGAGAAGGTAGATCATTATTCTGGAAAAAAGCTGGAAGATGGTCCCAAGTTCTTGAAATCTGGTGATGCTGCCATTGTTGATATGGTTCCTGGCAAGCCTAGGCGTGTTAAGAGCTTCTCTGACTATCCTCCTCTGGGCCATTTTACTGTTGGTGACATGAGACAGATGGTTGCTGTGGGCGTCATCCAAGGAGTGGACAAGAAGGCAGCTGGAGCTGGCAAGGTCACCAAGTCTGCCCAGAAAGCTCAGAAGGCTAAATGAATATTATCCCCAATAGCTGCCACCCCAGTCTGTGGTGGAAAAAAGGTCTCAGGACTGTTTGTGTCAATTGGCCAATTAAGTTTAATAGTGAAAGACTGGTTAATGATAACAGTGCATTGTAAAACCTACAGAAGGAAAGGAGAATGTTTTGTGGACCATTTGTTTTTTTGTGTGTATGTGTGGCAGTTTTAAGTTATTAATTTTTAAAATCAGTACTTTTTAATGGACACAACTTGACCAAAAATCTGTCACAGAATTTTGAGGCCCATTAAAACAAAAGTTTAATGATAAACAACAACAACTCAGTCTTGAACATAGGTAAGTGATTGAAAAGGAGTAGGAAAATATTTGTGAAGACCAGTTAGGTATCTACTCCTGTATTCCAGACAGAAGGTGACTGTGACATGCTTTATTAGTGTGGTGTCAGTGCAGATGGCATATGTCAGTTGTTATGAGAGATATTTAGGAGGCAGAATGAATAGGATTGGTGATTGTTTGCTGGTGGGTGGTGGTGAGATAACAGGAAAGTGACAGATGATTCCTTGATTTTTTGCTTTGGGAAACTGGGTAGTGCCACTTCCTGAGATAAGGAATGCTGGAAAGAGGATCAGGCTTGAGGGAGGCAGATCATGAATTTAATTTAGTACTTGCTGAATGTAAGGTGCTTATGAAACACTGAATGGAGATACTAAGCAGGCAGTTCAATACATGGACCTGGAATCTGAAGGAGAGGTCTGTCGTAGCAGTATACATTTGGGAGTCATCAGTGTAAATATGCGATAATGAGATAAGCGTATCCAAAACCAAGTTCTGAGCAAAGCCAACAGTTAAGATCAGATTAAATAATGATGCGTCTGAGAAGCAGCAGCCACCAACAGGGAAGAAAAGCTGGTGGAGTGGCATACCAAAATATTCCTTTTTGTTTCATTTATATACATACTATCATTTCTGAAGTCTTTGTTCCTTCATTTTAGTCTTTTTTATATGTGTCACTGAATCTATTATTCTAGTGATTAGTACACTTACAGTTGCAAAGGAAGTACTTTAATGTTGACAGATTGGGCAGCCTTTACACGTTTGATAAAATGTCCCCAGGCTCACCTATCAGACAACAGCCTGATGATATATTGTAGACAATATTCAGGTATTTCTAAATCAGATACATACCACATGACTTTTTTCTGTAGCTTTTCTTTTCTTTTTTTAATGTACCTGGGTATAGCCTTAGAAAAATGTGATAATCCATGGTTTAAATGATCTAAGAATTTAATAGGTGAGATTGGACAGAGATGGGCAATTTATGGCTTATAAATATTAATATGCTGGTTTTCCTACATCCTCACAGAAGCAGAAGGGCCTTGGATTTCATACATAGATTTATTAAGTAGTAAATTTTAAGTGGTTAAAAACTGTTTCTTTTTTTTTTTTAGAAGGTTTTGAGGAATCTCCTCTCCTGTTTTTTTTTTTTAAGATTTTATTTATTTATTTGACAGAGAGAGTGAGAGAGCACAAGCAGGGGGAACAGCAGAGGGAGAGGGAGAAGCGGGCTCCCTGCCAAGCAGGGAGCCTGATGTGGGGCTCGATCCCAGGACCCTGGGATCACGACCGGAGCCGAAGGCAGAAGCCCAACCATCTGAGCCACCCAGGCGCCCCCTGTCTCTGTTTCTGTTTCCAGAGTTTATCATAGTATATGGCATGCAGTAGGTACTCAGTATTTGTTGAATGAATGAATGAATGAATAATTACAGTTCTATGGCTTGACCTCAGTTTATTTGGACAATTTAATAAAATAGTAGTAATTTTTAATGTTAAAAATTGCAGAGGTAAGCGTTCTTAAACATTGCTAGATATGTAATCACATTAATCACATCTTTAAAGGCCCTTTTTCAGAAGAAGGTAACATTCACAGGTTCCAAGGATTTGATGCAGATATCTTTTGGGGAGCCATTTCTCAGGCTACTGTACCTACCTTCAAGCTATTCTTCACAGACCAACCTTAGTTTGAAAAGATAACTTGAGCAGGTCATTCCTTGTTGCTCTCCACATTGACCCTGGACTTCCAACAAGGCTCTTTGATGATTTGGCCCCTGCTTATTTCTCTAGCCTCATCACTGGCCCCACTGTGACCACACTCCGTCTTTCAACCCTTCTAAATGAACTCTTCATTTTTTGTAGTTTTTATTAGTTCCCATTTTCTCCCTTTCTTTGTTCTGTCTCTTTGGCAGAACATGCATATTTCCTTTGCTTAACAGCTATTTCACATTTTAGCTCAGACATCCAGCTCCTTCTGAAGTCTTCCTGGATCACAAAATCCATAGATCAGGTACACTGCCTCTGTGAATCCCCTTTCCCTGTCATGGTATCTCTGATAACTGTATTGTAATTGCCTAGTTTCCAGTCCTGATTTCAATTGCAGGGTGACCATAGGTACTAAGGGCAGGGCCTGTCTCTTCTGTCATATCCCTATAGTCTGGCACGGTCTCTGGCATGGACTAAATCTTTGTTTAACAAATAAATGTTTGAGGAAAAGAGAGATGAATTGGGGTTCCAGCTGCTAGTAATTGAGGTTTGGAGTTTGTTTTCTGGTTTTGAATAAGCATGGAGATTGAAAAGAATGTCTTCTTTTTCTTGTTCAGGCTTATGGGATGAAGATGCAAACGTCTTCCTCTCTCTCACCAGCCTTCTTAGCTACAACCCTTTCTGCATTGGATGAAGCCCTGCACGGTGGTGTGGCTTGTGGATCCCTCACAGAGGTAAAGGAGAAACTTTCCAAACTTCCCATTGATCTGTAACTTTCAGAGCCAGGGGAAAAAGTTTAGTTGAAAAACATGAATTATTTCATGTCTCAAGGGCATGGTTCTCCACTCAGGACCTAGTATAGTTGCTTTGCAAAAATAAAATAAAAAACAGTCCTTGCTGACCACCTAAAGTCTGCTTAGGTTGCTGTTTCTTAAAATTAACTTAGAAAACGATGAATATTATGAAATAGTATGAAAAATTGGGGGGAATTAAAAAAGGAACACTACTTAGTGTATTAGGAAGGAAACTTCGAAATTTTATTAACATGTGGGCAAGTCATAGTATTAAACTGAAGTGAGCTATTTTTAGTTTCTGTTGTAGATAAAATTTGGTTCTAGGATGTGATAGGTTGTATTAGTTATGTATTGTTGCACAGCAAATTACTTCAAAATGAAGTGGCTTAAAAACAACAATTAATACTTATTATTTCTATTTCTTTGGGAGCAGCTTAGCTCAGAAATATTGGTAAGGGATGCAATATCTTGAAGGCTTTGTGGGGCTGGATGGTATTTCCAAGAGGGCTCACTCACATAACTGGGAAGTTGATGCTGGTTGTTGGTAGGAGGTCACAGTTCCTCTCCAAGTAGGCTCTTCCACAGGCTGCTTGAGTTCCTCATGACATGGTGGCTGACTTCCCCTAGGGTGAGTAATCCAAAAGAAGGCAAGATGGAAGTGGCGATGCCTTTGATGATTTAGCTGTGGAAGTTACATACCATTAACTTCTGCCACATTCTCTTCTTTAGAAGCAAGTCATTAAGTACAGCTCATGTTCAAGGAAAGGCAAAATTGGGTCTACTTTTTGAAAGAAGTGTCAAGAATTCAAGGACATTTACTTTCTTTCAAGAGGGGGAGAGGGGAGGGGCAGAGGGAGAGAGAGAGAATCTCAAGCAGGCTCCATGTGGGGCTTGATCTCACAGCCCTGAGATCATTCCTGAGCCAAAAATCAAGAGTTGGACACTTAACTGACTGAGCCACCCAGGTGCCCCAAGGACATTTTTTTTACCTGAATAAATTGGACATGTAATATTATGTAAGGTTAAGGTTTTCATTATGTTACTTTAATGCATTTATATATTGTAATATGATTGCTGATGTAGTAATATTTATCACATTACATAATTATAGTACAATATTATTGTCTATATTCATTAGACTGCATTATATTGCTATTGCTTATTTACTTTTCATTATAAGTTTGTACTGTTAAACACCATCACTTTTTTTTAAAAAATTTATTTATTTGAGAGAGAGAAAGAGAGAGGGCACAGGTGAGCAGGGAGGGGGATGAGGGGCAGTGGGAAAGAATCTCAAGTAGAGTCCCTGTTGAGCATGGAGCCTGGTGCAGGGCTCAATCTCAAGACCCTGAGATCATGACCTGAGCTGAAATCAAGAGTTGGACACTTAACAACTGAGCCACCCAGGTACCCCAAACACCAGCACTCTTATCTCCCCACCCCACCCCCTTTTAACCACCATTTTACTCTGTTTTTTTTACAGGTTTAACTTTTTTAGATTCCACATATAACTGATACTGTACAGTACATTTCTTTGTCTGACTTATCTTGCTTAGTATAATGTGCTCAGGGTCCATTCATGTTGTTGCTAATGAGAGGTTATCTTCCTTCCTCATGGCTGAGTAATATTCCATTGTGTATATATGCCGCATTTCTAAATCCATTCATCTGTGGTGGGCATTTAGGTTGTTTCCATATCTTGGCTATCGAGAATACTACTATGATAAACATTGGAGTGCAGATATCTTGATGAAATTGTTTTTATTTCCTTTGGGTATATATCCAGAAGTGGAATTTCTGAGTTGTATGTAGATCTATTTTTAATTTTTTGAGGAACCTCTATATTGTTTTCCATAGTGAGATTAAAGATATTTAAAAACCACCACAGTTCTTTTCCTTGCAAGCTGCATTGGTGTGCTTACTGGTCTGGTGTTGTGACTCATGGACTTAACCAGGATACTCCTGAGGAACTTCTTGCCTGAGAGTTCTAGGGGCATTGATACTTTAAGCAAACTTCTAAGCAAGAGCAGACTCTGACATTCTGATAGTCATAAATTCAGGTGTAGATTTTTCTTCTTGAAGATGGGGCATTCTGTATGATACTATACCTTATTTTATGCCCTGTCTTCTAAGAAAGATTTAAAAATGTGTGTGTACTATGCTTGGAGGATGCTTATTAGATAGTTGATAAATGAGCCAGAGGATCTTTAAAGGAAACAAAAAACCCCTGCTGTTGCAGGGTACTGCCACCAGATGGTGCCAGAATCCTGTTGTACATAATCTTTTTGCACTCTAGCTGGACCTCTTCAAATGAGTTTATAACAGCAGTGTTCCATAGTTATAAAGTTATTTAAATAGCAAAAACTGAACTTAAGATTAACCAACAGCTACTTTTTTATTTTCTAAGTTTTAGAATAATTTTTAATGCTTTTTCACTTGGCATTTGTCAATTCTTTCTGAATCCAAGTGGTAGTTACAAGCCATGTTGGTGTTTTGTCATGATCTCCTTGGCTGACTTGGAGCATGAATACTCTGACTGCTTATTAGTGGCCAGTTTTTTACTTTCTGTTTTAGTTACAGGTAGCCTTTTCAGTTATTTTGGGATTTTTTTCAGCTGAGTATAGGGAGTATTTCTGTTTACCTTTTATTAACAAAATTTTAATGTGTATTTTATATATATGTAAGATTAAATATATCCTGCATGTGTAATTTATGAAGTCTTATGACCCTATGACTTAGTAAGAACCAGAACAATACCAAAACCATTGAAACTAACTGTGGTCTTCTCCCTGATCCTATCTTTGGCCTTCTATTGAGGTGTGTATGTGTATTTCAGGTAAAAAATCCTGAATTTTTTACCATTCCTATAATTTTTTTCCCTATAGTTTTCTTTTACCATCTATGTACTTAAATAGGAGCTATAACAACATTTTATTTAGTTTTGCTTAATTTTGAGCTCTATTAAATCATTTCTGTGATTAAATCATATCTCTTCTATGAATTGTTTTTTTTACTTAATAGTGTTTTCTAAGATTTATCCATGTTGTTTCAGGTAGCAGGAGTATAATTCCCTTTCACTGATGTATCGTACTCCATTTTGAAAATATGCCACAATTTATTTATCTTTTTTCCTGTGAGTGAACTTTTGGGTTGTTTCTAGTTTGCTGCTAATATAAACAAGTCCTATGAAAATTGTTGTACATGTCCCCTGCATCACATGTACAAGTATTTCTCTAGGGCAGGGATTGGCAAACTACTGCCCAATGATCAAATCTAGCTTGATGTCTGTTTTTGTAAATAAAGTTTTATTATAACACAACTATGCTGATTTGTTTATGTTTTGTCTGCTGATGTTTACATGATAGAAGGCAGAGTCGAGTTAGTTGTGGCAAAGATCTCATGGTCTGTAGAGCCTAAAATATTTACTATCTGGCCCCTCTCTAGGGTATCTACCTTGGAGTGATTTCCTGGTTATAGGATATGTGCGTAATGTAACTTTGCAGAATCAGGACAAATTGTTTTCCAGAGCGGTTGTGCCTGTTTAAATTCCTACCAGTGATGTGCAGGAATTCTTCTTGCTCTACATCTTCATGCCTTGGTATTATCAGATTTCTTAACTTATGCCCATCTTTGGCATCTATGATTTTAGTTTTCATTTTCCTGTTTACTAATGAGTTTGAATATCTTTTCGTAAATCATTTGGTTATTTTATTATTTTTTAAAGATTTTATTTATTTATTTGACAGAGAGATACACAGCGAGAGAGAGAACACAAGCAGGGGGAGTGGGAAAGGGAGAAGGAGGCTTCCTGCGGAGCAGGAAGCCCGATGCGGGGCTCGATCCCAGGACCCTGGGATCATGACCTGAGCTAAAGGCAGATGCTTAACGACTGAGCCACCCACGCGCCCCATTGTTTGGTTATTTTAAAAGCAGTTTTATTAAGGTACAATTTAAATGCTATAAAAACTCAACCATTATTAATTGCATAATTCAACATTTGGTAATTTTCTAGTAAGTCATCACCACAATCCAATTTTAGAACATTTCCATCACCTTAAAAATTTCCCTCATGCATATTTATAGGTAATCCCTGCTTCCATCCTCAGCCTTGGGTACCCACTGATCTATTTTTGTGTCTCTATATATTTGCCTTTTCTAAACATTTCATATAAGTGGAATCATATTAAAATGTAGTCTTTTGTCTTTGGTTTCTTTCACATAGTGTGATGTTTTTAAGGTTCATCCATGTTGTAGCATGTATTAGTAGTTCCTTTTATTATATTTTATTTCTTTAAAGATTTTTAAAATTTATTTATTTGACAGAGAGAGAGACAGTGAGAGCAGGAACACAAGTAGGGTGAGTGGGAGAGGGAGAAGCAGGCTTCCTGCTGAGCAGGGAGCCCTATGTGGGGCTCGATCCCAGGACCCTGGGATCATGACCTGAGCTGAAGGCAGACGCTTGACGACTGAGCCACCCAGGCACCCCTAGTTTGTTCCTTTTAATTGTTGATTTGTATTCCATTGTATGGCTGTAGCACATTTTGTTTATCCACTCATCAGTTGATGGACACTTAGATTGTTTCCATTTTTCATGTATTAGGAATGATGCTGCTATGAACATTCACGGATATGTCTTTGTATGGACATAAGTTTTTGTTTCTCTTGGGTAGATTACTAGGAGTGAGTGGCTAGATCATATGATAGCTGTATGTTGAACTCTTTTTTTTTTTTTTTAAAGATTTTATTTATTTATTTGACAGAGAGAGACACAGTGAGAGAGGGAACACAAGCAGGGGGAGTGGAAGAGGGAGAAGCAGGCCTCCTGCTGAGCAGGGAGCCCGATGTGGGGCTCGATCCCAGGACTCTGGGATCATGACCCGAGCCGAAGGCAGACGCCCAATGACTGAGCCACCCAGGCGCCCCTGTATGTTGAACTTTTT